TAAATAGGTAATTTTATTTTATTTATTTATTTAGATGAGTAAATAGCCACACTCCTCATTCGCTAATCACTTTCTCGCACAAACAGTGAGAAATTGGGAGACAAGGGGATAATTACAGCAGACGCACTTTGAACCCCTGACAAATGGACATCGGGGACACCTTGCACCTTTATCGCCGCGAAGGCTGCAAGTGCGTTTATGCGCCTTCATAATCATTTAATTAATTTACACTAGGATTTTTTTACCACATCTCAGTGTTGGATGTATCCAATTCGAACATGAACTCTATAGCATAGTAGAAGACACACCGACAAAAATCCTCTGTTCTAATCAACCTCCCCAAGTCAGTCCTCTTTAATTGGTCAAATTTTCTAGTACCATCGCATTCATTCTCACTTTCCAAATCGGTATATATCTCTGAAACTTTTAGATTTTGGGGGAGTTTTTTCTTAAAAAAAAAAAAATTTCAAAACTTCTAAATTACCAGTCCACTGTATATTTGTTCTGCCAAAAAGGTCGTGGAGTTGGCGGTGGTTTGTGTACCATCTTAGCCGCCAACTTTGAATTTTTTAATTCTTTTTTAATATGTGTATCTTTGTTTTTGTCCGGTATCGGTCAAAACACTACTTTTTTAATTAATTGTGAATGGTGTTCAAATAACAAGTAAAAATGAGTGTTTCAAATCTTATTCCCTTTAATTATGATGAAATTATTAATTTTATAATTTCAACTGGTTAATTAAAATTATGTATATATTATGAGTATTGAAAATCGTATTAATTTTTAATTTCTTTTAAAAAAACTTAAATACTAACAAAATTAAAGAGATGTAAATCTGTATTCTTTAACATGTATAATTTATGTTTAGCTTTATCACACTAAGTAGATCAAAACTTTTAATTTATATAAACCCTTTCTTTCAATCCAACGCCAAATTCTCATAGAGGGTTTCTATAGTTTTGCTAGAAACCTTCTTGCCTGAAGATTAGTTGTTTTTATTCAATTCTTTTACAAATTGGTTTACATGTGCCTACTCACGGTGGCGGACTCAAGAGATAAAGGCAAGTACTTTCGGTTTCCACCTTCAGATGGCGGCGGTGGCGGCAAAGACCAAGACGAGAGCTTTTCTGAGGACACACCGAAATCTCAGCTGACTCATTTGCAGCCGCCAGAGCATAGCAGAACCGAAGCAGAATCGTCAACAGGGATGCATCTTGGGTACAGTCAGTCGGCGGCGGAGATGTCTGCAATGGTATCGGCCCTAACACATGTCGTATCGGGACAAAGGGGTGGCCGTGATTGGGGATATGGTGTTGGTTTTGGTGGCATGGTCACCTCATCTCGTTTCGTAAACCCTGTTTCTTCCTCTGTTTCTTCCCCTTCTGCTGTGTACTCTCCATCCTCTTACTCTTCCTCCCCCTCCCCCTCCCCCTCCCCTTCCGGCTCCGGCTCAAGTTCCGGGCTGTGGATAGGGCAAAAGCGCGGCCGTGATGAAGACGCCGCCGGTGCATCTCAATTGCTTGAATCTATTCCAAGGGCTTATAGAATTGCCCATGGAGATTCATCATCTGGTGCAATTGGTAATTAATTTTTTTTTAATTTTTTTTTAATTTTTTTTTTCAATTTAGGAAATTTCTTTACATAATCTTTACACACTTTAAATAAATTTCTGTTTTTTTTTCTCATCAATAATTTAATACATCACTTTTCCTACAATCATTTCTAATTTTAAATTATTTATTGAACAGTTAATTTTTCCAATATTAAATGGAAATATGAATAGTACCATGAAACAAAACGCGTTTTCAACAACGTAACATTTCAAGTTCTGTTTTTTCCCCCAAAAAAATAAAAAATAAATAATGTTTTGAAGAAATTAATGTTTAGATTTCATAAGCACTAGGGTTAGCAATGGAATACAGTTTTTCTCATCTTCTTCATTCATTTTTTTTTTAAATTTTATTTTTCCTTTGTAATAATTGACTTTTTCCCATTTACAGTAAAAGAAGAAGTTACAAACATTGTAGCACCGGCGACCACAGATGCACCGGCCACAGCAACACCACCAATAGAAACTGCATCATATGTAGAAACTGGAGAACGGAGAAGAAGATACAGGGGAGTCCGGCAAAGGCCATGGGGAAAGTGGGCAGCGGAAATTCGAGATCCGCATAAGGCAGCGAGAGTCTGGCTAGGAACATTCGACACGGCCGAGGCGGCAGCCAGAGCTTATGATGAAGCCGCCTTGAGGTTCAGGGGAAACAGAGCCAAGCTAAATTTTCCGGAAAATGTGAGGATGGTTCCTCAACCAGTGCAAAATTTTCCAGCTGCCCAAACATCGGTTTCGGGTACTCTGACAGCTCATTTACCGCAAGCACAATCTCCGGCGATGCAGCCATACTTCCAGCTCCAAGCTCTTCAGCGGCCTTCCGCTGATGCCGTACTGAGAGACTACTGGCAGTACTCTCAGCTGCTACAGAGTTCTAGTTCCGCTGACTTCCAAGGGCAACAAGCGACGAGTTTGCTAGATCAGTTGATTCAACCTTCCCAGTTAGCTTCTCCTCAGCCGCCATTGTTATCTTCTTCCCTTTCATCATTGTCTTCGTCAATTGCAGCATCCTCAGGTTCATCATCATCGTCCACTTCTCCATTTCCTCTGCTTTTCAACGAGCATCAACAGATGGGCTTTTTCCAGCCACCGTCAAGTCAACCTCAGCCCAGCGGGTCTGACTTTCCGCAGCCACCGTGGTCACATTCCGGTCACCACCCTCCATCATCCACTGGTTAATAATAATACCATATTTTTAAATAATATTTTTGAAAAACCAGCAACTTTTTTTTTTTTTTCCTTTTTTCCTTTGTTCCCCTGTTTATTGCACCCTGTTTTTGCATGTAGTTAGGTTTAGATTGATCATGGTTTTGTTTTCTTTAATATAATAGTTGTTAAAAAAAAAATGGAAAAGAACTTGGCGGAAAAGTTAGAGAGTGGGAAATGCAAAGAGGCATTTTAGGATTTTTATAAAAGGCATTGTTCGTTCTAGATGATTCAGGGTTTTGCTTTGATGTAACTCTTTCAATTATCGAACAAAAGATGTAGAAACCAGCAGCTTTTCCTAATTAAGCTCTCTTGCTCTTTGCTTTACATCAAAACATTCATCAAAGAATGTACTTTTCCTTCTTTTTATTTTTCTTTTCTTTTCTGGACCTCATTCTTTTTATCATTTTTATTCTTATAATCAATATTAAAAATTTATTTACATTTTATTAATTATTTAATTAAAATAATATACTTGATAGTTATAAAATTAATAAGTAATTTTTAATCTAATTAATATAAAAATATAATAAACTCAGTCTTATTTTAAAAAACTATTTCTAAAAAAGTATATGGAATTAGTTTGTTTTTTATTTTTAATAAGGAGATTTAGTAAAGGGGTCCCACGCATCGCCATAGATAATTTAGGGCGAGACGGAAACAGATAGGGCACAAGACACTATTCCAAGCATTGCATCTATGCACCGCTGATTTTCTTCTTCCTCTTCTTCTTCCTCCTCTCTTCCCTTCTCTTCAACCTTCTTTCTCCTCCGCCTCCGCCACCTCTCCTCTTCTCTCCTCCTCTCTCTGGTAAGTTTTCTCTGCTTGATTCGCTGCTTACGAGTTACGACTGAATGTAAAAGTTGGTTGCTCAGAAAATTTTAACACTGCAATTTTCTAGCCTTTTATTTTTAGAAGAAGTAGATTTGGAGTTTACGTTTTGTTTGTTGGGTTATTATTATTATTATTATTATTATTATTTGATTGCTCCGCTTCTGCAACTGGAATTCATAGCTGGGTGCTGGGTCGTTGCTCTTTTCTGAGTAAGCACGTCCTTTGTCTTATTGGGTTAGCATGATTTGATTTGTGGGTGTACTGAATTTAAGAATAGATTGCAGCTAAGAGGCACTGGTTGTTCTTGTCAAAATTTTTTTTAAGCAACTATCTGTTATTTTGCACTGTTTAAACTGCAAAAGTACTGCCTTTAGCTACGTTACTGCTGCTCATTAGATGGTTAAAATGCATTTTATGCTTTTTAACTTAATTAGGAAAACGGGCTATTTGCTTGTACCTGGAAGCAAAAAGTATTGATTTTGATATCGTTTTGAGTAGTGTGATCGATTATTGTTGGGTTTGTAACAGGTCGTTCCAAAAATGGCAGAACCCTCTAAGGTTATTCACGTGCGCAATGTGGGGCATGAAATTTCTGAAGTATACTCTCTCTCTCTATGGATCTCACACACACTGCACAGCGAAGTGTGCGTGCATACACACGATACAATTTACTATCAATATTAATTTAGGCTCAAACTTTTCCTTGCACTACTACTAAGCATGGCTCAGTGTTAGTTCTTATGTTTCTAACTGATTAATGTTTTTATGCCTATAGCTAATGAGTGAACTTTGTTTTGCTGAAATGAAAAGTTGAAAAATTTTATAGCACATTTAATGATCCCTTAGAAGGAGAATGGTAGCTTGGTATACTATAAAAGTTCATGTTATGGATGTAGATATTTTCTTTTTCTTTTTTTAAGGAATGTCCATATGAGTTTGCTAATGAATGCATGATAATGCACTATATCCTTGAAATGTGAGAAAAAAAGAGTATAAATCTGGCAGATGGGAAGATAATAGTGAAAATATTTTAATTTAGGACCCATTTGTTTTGTATGTCTTTTTACCACATTCTGTTTTTGTTGTAATTGGAATATCAAGTAACATCTGGGAAATTATCACTTCAGTCCTACAAATTTTTGCCATGAAAAGAAAAACAATATGATTGCAATCTAACCTCTATCCCATCCTTTTCTCATATATTTAATTGAGGCTACTGCAGGGGAGATGTTAATAGTAGTAAATGCTACCTTTTCTGTACAGTATGTTCTTTTTGTGTTTGATGTGTCATCCCACTTGTGCTTTTTTTTATCAGAATGATTTGCTTCAACTATTCCAGCCGTTTGGGGTAATAACTAAGCTTGTAATGCTCCGTGCTAAGAATCAGGTACTCGATGACTGTGTTAACTGTAGAAGCTTCTGTTTAGACTAGAAAATTCAGTTAAACCTCTACTTAATATGCTTCATTGTGTTTGGCTTGAATCAGGCTCTTCTTCAGATGCAAGATGTTCCTTCAGCCATAAATGCTTTGCAGTTCTATACAAATGTTCAGCCAACCATAAGGTATAAAGATTTTTTACATGTCTCTATTTGGATACTGTGGTAAAGATGGTTCTTGTTTTCTTTGTAATGACATGCATTTTGATATCCCAGGGGGAGGAATGTTTATGTTCAATTCTCATCTCATCAGGAACTAACAACAATGGATCAGAATTCTCAAGCACGAGGTGATGAGGTTGGTAATTAATTCATAGAGGAGTAAATTCAAAATCTATAATTGTTGAGCTTCATGGAAACAAGATTAAGTGTGTAGTAACATTTGGATTTTAGTCTAATAGCTGAATTTCATGGTTCCAAAATATTTTCTTCTTGCCTGAGGTGTTTCTGGATGATGAAAAGGTTGTGTTGTCTTGTAAATAATATAAAGCAAAGCATTTTAAGGTACTGAAAGTCAAATTATCATTTTAGGCAATTGAGCTACTTGGTAACTTATTCTGTTGTAGGATTTCTGTTTCAATGTCTTGTTAAATCAACTGCTGATACATGGCCCAATTCTTTGTACTGCAATTTTTTGTGCTTTCCAATTGTCAGACTTTAGAGGTGCATTTAATCTGAGATGATAATTTCACTGTGACATATAACTAATAGATTTACAGAAATATGGAATGATTAGGGTCTTGTTCTTCTACTCTTTTTTTTTTTTTTTTTTTTTTTAGTTTTTTGTACTGATATCATTCTCATTATGTTTCAAATCGTTACTACATGTTGCATGTCCAATGATTATTTATTCTATTTTTTGGGTCTTA